GCGGTAGCAATTGCAATCGCATCGCCGATGCCGACGATACCGCCAATACCGCTTTCTAAACGCTCTCAGCTCATCGCTTCACGCTCTCCGCGGTGCGACGGGCTTTCCTTTTAGTCGAGCGGCAGTGCCACAGTGGGCTGCATTGTCGGTTTTCCTTCTAAAAATATATCATAAGCCATTTCAAGTATACATCCTTTCTCAGTCCACTTGAACAAGGTTTCACTAATTTTACATATCTCTCAAATGAAAATAAATAAATATCACTAACGATCGAAGAAAATGTTTTTCAAAGCTTTGTAAAACAAAAATATCTTAATTATTTTTTAAACATTTATCAAGAGGGATTAAGTGGCCAACAATTATTTTTTATTTCATTTATTTCTTCTTTCTTTAATTTTTTATTTGCTATGATTTAATTTTCACAAAATATTCAAAAACACTACTTGTTAATACCTCAAATTATTCTGATAGAAATCATCGCTTAATTTTTATTTTTAAAGTATTCTTTATAAGTAAGTAGACAAATGTATTTAAAAACTTATATACATATCTAAAGAAAAAGGTATTCTTAAAGTGGTTATGAATATTTCAATTGCTTTTAAGTACTAGAAATTTTGATACAAAAACTAAATATAAATCCCATTCAGCAACTTGACTGCTTGATGTTTAAAGCTCTTCAATAATATTTATTAAAGCTTTGTTTTCTTGCATCATTTCATTTACATTTGCATTTCTAACACTTACCTGATGAGTTATGCTTATTTCCGTTTATATGCTAATTAAAAAATTCTAATATTGTATAGAATTAATTGATTGCCCATGACTCACATAATATTCGCTTTCGTCCGAAGATACCAATCCCCAAAAGTATGCAATTCGTTTTGAAAATGTTTATTGTTTTTATTTACTTGACTTGAATATTTATAATTAAGTGACATTAAAGTAGCCGCCCAAACCCTAAAAAAAAACAACGCCAGTGCAATTGAGTTTGAAATACCAAAAAAAAATTTATTTTCTCTTAGGAGAGATTCAGAAAATTCATATTATAAGCAATTTTGTGGATGATTTCGATCGGTTTGTCCAATTTTTGGGATTCGCTAGCGTAAAGTTTATTATTTTTTACAATTCTTGAAAGTTGCAATTGGGACTAAATAGATTTCATATTAGAGCTTCGGGGATCTTATTGCGGGTCCGAAAATTACAATTTTGCTCGAGATAATAACAGGACAGACTATGGTTAAAGGATCGATGCGAATGAGACTATATAACTTTTGTATATCTATTTAATAATCTTGTATGTGTGTGTGTGTATCTCTGTGTGGTTTAGGTTAGGGAATCTAAGTATATAACATGTGTACGAATGCTGCATAGCCAATCCAGATTCTAAACGTTCTCGACTTTCCCACACAATTGCCTCAAGCGAATCCAGTTTTTGTCCTTTTTTTTGTCTACCGATGTAGCTCGAAAAATTAATTTTTAAATTTTTAATCGTTATTCCATAATTTGGAGACTTTTTTTTTTGGGTTTTCCTTAAGGTTTTCTAAATGCTATTTCAATTTCTCTTTTCGTTTGTCTTAAGTAAAATTGAATCAAATTCCTCAGTGCTTGCAGTGCATATCGTACTTAGTAATTCATGTTGTCTATGCTTAGTGACTAATCCAAAAAAAGTAAATATATTGTTTAGGCATATACATACATTAATGGGGATTATCTTTAAGTGTGGGAAGTGTCTTACATTTCTATATAGTTTATAGGATCTGTGAGTGGTTGTAATTCGGTATATGTACACTTTACAGTTAAGCAGTTTAGAACTCTTCGATAGAAATACTTTCAGACTTGCGTAAGTTAACAATTAAATATATAGTGTATATCCAGGTGGAAGGGAGAATCCGAAGTCGTTGTCTATTTAAAAGTTTCGGGGTGAGCGAGGATCGAAATTAAACCTCTGAAACGCGGAGTGAATTGGAGTGAAAGTTCGTGTATTTACAGGGTTTGTAGGTGTGGTGTAAATAAATAGATTACTTGTACACATATATTCCGATTTATTACGTTATCAATATATATAGTGTATGCTTAATATCGTACAGTTAGGCATTGTTTTTAGGTATATCGTTCCATCATCCGTATCTGTATCTTGACCTTTACAATTTTTGGTTGCCTTACTTGCTAGAATTTCATAAGACTTGCGTTTCATTTTTCCATATTTTGTTCAAAAGTTTCACTTAAACGATTCGAAAAAAATATATATATATGTCTGTATATATATAGCATCTATGTTGTCCCTATATACACATCATGCAGTAAGTGCCACCACTTAGTGTGTCCTCTGTGTCCTGTATCTGTGTGTGGTGTCCAGTGGGTTGTGTCTTTGTGTCAGTGTCTTGTGGGTTATCAACTTCTACAAAATGCACGAAAATATATCCATAGTTTTGGCTTGGACCCGGTTGTTTTCCGAACAGCTGTGACAATGCTAACAGTACACCCGAGTGCACTTGGCTAGCCATTTTCTTGCATTTTAGCCCTCATCTTCGTCAGTATTCACCATGTATCATTTAGCATTTAGCCCGTCTAGATCGATAGATAGCGCTCTCCTCGGTAACTCGAACTTATTTCGCCTTCCCGCGTAAATCCTTCGACTACAATTTCATTTTGAAGCTTCGTGTGAATAGCAAGTTGCGAAAACTAACCAAATCGTTTCACTTTGAATTCCCCATCGATTACTTATTGAAGGGTATGGCCTGTGGTTCCAGTTCATAGTGAATGGTTTAGGGGGGATAGCAAACGCTCTTCGGCCATCTGCTCGGCTCATTTGCTACAAAATCTCTAGATTGTCATTTGCTAAATATTCCTTACTCAACTCTGCTCTACTGCATATGGATTTCCAGCTGCGACCGTTTTTATGGTGATGCTCAAAAATAATACAAATAATATATGATAATTCAAGAAATGCCAATTTGTTCAATACAGTTTTAAGTTCTTTTTGGTGAATTAAAAACTCAATTAAACTTATTTTTTTCAAAGTAACTTCAATGATCAAAATGCTTAAATACTTAACACAAGTAATTAAATATGTTTGCCAATGGTGAAATACAATTTAAAAAAAGTGAAAAAATGGAAAATAACTTAAAAACATTAATGCTAAAATTTGGTTTGGTTAGTTATCTTTAAAAAATTCAAATACATTTCCGATGTAAATAACTTCTAAAATAATTGCCAACCAGTTGATAATATTTTGTTATTTTGAAATAGAATAAAATCAAATATTAAGAATTATATATATATATTTAGAATTTTATTATAAATAACTGTTATAAATTGATAGATTTAAAATGATATTTTAGTAAGGCAATTTTGATATTTAAAATAAAGGTGTCAAAATTAAACGTTGGAAACAATAGAGAAACTATAATTTTAATTGCAAACTGATAAAAATTAATTAATTTAATTGAATTTCCTGAACGGCATAGAGCACCACCGGTATTTTGACCGCAGCCAAGAATTCATTAGTTGCCGCAGGCGGTGTGGATTGGTGTTACGATTTTGGACTCCGGTTGACCAATGGGGGGCACGTCTTATGGGGCGTAAAGGCTGCATGCCCGGGATCCCGCAAAGCCGGAATCCAAATCGTTCGACGCGACACTTCGACACCATCTGCGACAGTCTACGATGTGTGTGTGATTAACTTCTGTGTTTTGTTTTTTTTTTTCTTTTTTTCCTATTTATTTTTCTTTTATTTTTGAAGTGTGCAATCCAAAACATGATTACCCACCCGGAAAGCGCGCCTCCGGAACCGGAAGTGGCTCACAGGGCGGGACGGGTGGAATGCTGGCGATGGCCCCCATGGGTCCGTGATCACTCCGGTTTTCCGAAAGCCAGAGCCACGGTTTTCCAGGAATCAATCCGCAGCGATTGGACGGGGGGACAGGGCTGCATTCGACCGGGCCTCGTAAAGGTGATCGATACCTAATCGCTCTCTGGTGCCTTATCAATCGATAGTGAGACTTATCACTTATCGTTATCGCTACAATCGTAAATGTAAGGTTAGCCGAAAAATGTTAAAGAAATCGCGGTAAACGTAATTGACTCGACCATGATTACATATAAATTTCGAATTTTGAAATCTAAGCAAAAAAAAAAAACAAAAAAAATTAAATAGCCCTCTACTGTACATAGCATACATATTATGATTTGATTAACGGCTATATAATATTGTGGTATTCCACAGTTACTTGGTATTTTGATAAAATATGCATGCTTCTTATATTAAGAGTGTTTTGTTTTCGTAATGCTCGTGTTCATTGTTCTTCTGTTCCTTTGTTCCTTTGTGTTACGGGGGTTTAAAGTTAGAGAGTACGGAATATAGTATTTAGAGTAGTTAAGATAGTCTTTGTGAGTCCCTGCCCGTCCTAACGTCTAGTTGCTTTGTTGTTTTGGGGCAGGTGACCTTGTTTGGGGGGACGCCACTTAAAGATCGGCCCAAGTCTTTCGGTTTGAAACGCTGAGGGTTTTTGGGGTGAAGGTGAAGTGGGTGGTATATCTATGGGGGTTGTGCATCCTAGTCTGTGCATCGGGACTGTGTGTGTGTACCTGTATCTGTGTGTGTGTCTGTGTCTGAGCGAGAGAGCTATATCCCCTTTGGGGTATCATGCGTCTCTCTTCTAACCGTGCTGCTGCTCTGCCCTTTTCTTTCTTATTTTCATTTTTAAACAAGAGTATTCAAGATCTCACTTAGCCTAGATTAATTTCCAAAAGAAGGACATATGGTATAATTAAATGTATATAATATATATAGGCTATATATTTGCTTAGTATGTCTCTGTGTGTGTGTGTGTTTTTTTTGTTTTTATCTTTTTTGGGTTATTTAGTTTACAGCAAATGCCCTTTGCTAATATCAATTTCAATTTGCTCTCATTCTCGCTCTCAAGTCCAATACATTAATTAATTTAGATATCACAATATAATCATTAATCGTTAATCAATCGGTAAGTGAAACAAATAAATTTCGAATTTCCATTTGCACTTGCTGCCTTTTTAATTCAAGTTTTTTGTTTGTTCGTTCTTGTAATGTAATTAAAAATTGAAATTTCGGACAAATGTTGCCTTTCGTTTTGCTAGCTTTTCTTTACAATAAATTAATTAATTCATACCATCATCCGCTTACGCACTAAATGTGTTGAGTGTTTTTTGCTTTTTTTTTTTGTTGTATGTGTGTATGTATTTTCTTTGCTTAGATTAAATTAGATTTTTCTCGTACATGCTAACACAAAAAAAAAAACAGTTACCAAAAAAAGCCATTATAATTATTATTATGTCGTAGGGTGAATGCTTTCGCTGAATGCTCCACTTAGATCCGGGTCTGCACCTCCAGATGCATAAAACGCTCTTGACCTAAGCGAAATCGATGTGTTTTCGTGGAATGTTGATTTAATTTAATTTCGTTTGATTTGATTATGTAGGTTGAGTTATTTACAAGACATTTTCCATTTAGTTGTTGTTTTGTTGTTGGCATAGAAAGGAGAAATTTGCAATGTTAAAATGACGTTCTTTTTTTTGAATAACCGATTAGCCGATTAACTGAAATTCTGGTTTTGTGATTTTCGTTTTGTCTAGTTGTCGTGAGTTAGCCCCACGGTGTAAGCTTGTCTAGCAATAGCTCTACATGGCGGGGAACTGCGGCGATTCTGGATTCGCGTAGTCTAATCGTCGAGCCAGCCTTCGAGGTACTGGGTCCTCTGCTTACTTTCCAAATACGTGGCTATCTCGTTGGCGTTCTTGTTGAAGGCCACCATCATGGGCGTGTTGCCGCCGGAGTCGAGGGTGTCCAGATGGGCGCCGGCGGCCACCAGCATCACGCAGATGTCGCGACGGTTCTGCTCGGCGGCAATGTGGAGCGCCGTCTGTCCACTGAAAGAAATCATTACGAAAGTGGGTTCGTTACCAGGTTCTGTTAGAGTGCGACTTATATGTTATAATGCTTAACGAAACACCTATTGAACAGCTTTCAGAAAGGTGACCCCAATCTCCCTCTTAACCTTGTTACTTGATGCACTGTATCCTGTTTTTAAACAGTACGTCTGTGGTTGTGAATGCCACTTTATAAAGAATTTAACGAGGTATAACATTCGACCACTATTTCCCAGGGTTTTGATTAAAAAACCGAAAAATCGAAGATATTTTCTCGGATGTTGGTCAAAATATGTTTCATAAGGGTTTGTTTTTTTTTATGAAAACAATTTTTGAATGATATTTTTTTTCTGAAAATGCCTTTTTGTTGGAAATTTTGTAAGGAATTCAAATAAAGGGTACCATCATGATTTTTAGAATATGTAAATTAAGTTTGCTTCCTTTCTAGTTATATACATATGTATGATGGAATAAATTGATATTCCTGGGGACTTACAGCTCCTTGTCGGCCATGTTGATGACGCGTCGTGTGGCGCTCGTGATGATGTATTTGACGATGTCCCTGTGGTTGTATTTGCAGGCGAAGTGCAACGCTGTCTGTCCGTTCTTGTTCACTGACTGTAGTGAGTATCCTTGTTCATGTAGTGCACGTAACTGGAAGAAATGGGGAAATGGCGGGTATTTAACAAACCAGAACATATAGCTCGGACTTCAGCAAATCGTGGACTAGATATATGTATATATTCTGGAAAATTAAGCTACCATATTGAGATCGCCGCTCTGGGCTGCTAGTAGTATGGCATCGGAAGTTTGCTCCAGTATAGGGCTATTATTCAAATGTTTGTGTGTATGTGTGTGTGAGAGAGATAGCGTATTTGCGTGTGTGTGTGTGTCGGTGTGTTTGTGTGTGCATGGAAAAGTAGAGAAAATAAAAAGAAAATTCAAGCATCAGTTCGGTTTAAGATTCATTTAATCGATTCAAATGTCGATGATACGAGAGATAAAGACGAAAAGAAAGACAGAGAGAGAGAGACAGAGATAGCCACAACAGACAGTCTAGTAAGTAAAGAAAGAGACAGATAGTAATACGGAATACCTGAATCCATAACCAAAAACATCTTCGTTGAAACTGAATAAACGATCTTTGTTGCTGCATGCAGAAATTATTCACGTTGTACAGAAATTAGGAAAATTAGAAATTTATTTTAATCAAATCAAGAAGAGGAGGGAAAGATGCTGGAGAGAGAAAGAGAGAGAGACAGGGCGAGTGTGTGAAAGATGGAGGATATACCGTGGACCATGAGATAAGCGTTAGTGAAAGAGAGAAAGAGAGCAAGCGAAATTATATTGCCAAACGAGCAAGACAGCTGCGAATAAAGCCAATTGGTAGATCTATCAGAGCGAGAGAGATGGAGAGCACTCTATGTGAACAACATTTTTGGGTGTCTAGTGCCGTCTCGCTCGGTTCGGCGAATAGCTATTGATCTCTTTTCTTCGAATGGAGTCTGAATGAAATGCTGAACGAATCGGGGGACGCTTTTTTACCTCTTCCACTTCATCACTTTAATGGGCTTGGAGCCAATTTGCAAATCTTCATCTTTGTGTTTTTTTTAGTATGTGTCAATTTGTGTTTTTTGTGTTTAAATTCGAAAAGAGATTCACATATTGTTAGTAAGCTATTAAAATAAGTGTATCACTACTAAAGTAACTATAAATCAAGTACACAACTAGTCCAAACTACCAGAGCTCAATTGCAAGGCATTTAACATACCCGCGTATCTTTTCAGTGTCTTTTTTGTATTATTTGGTTGGTTGGTTGGTTAGGATGGATGGGTTCGCAACGAATACGGTTTGGTCCTTGCTACGGTTTTAACTGTTGATGTAAGCCGGGATTATATACCAGATAGTACCAGGAGTGCTCGTATTTAATGCTCTACTCACATGCGATCGTGGCAAGGACTAAGCTGTATTCGGCTCCTCGCAATTAAGACTTGGATTTTTAGCGGATGTGGGTGTGTGTTTATGTGGGTGTACGTGTTATTGATTACAGTTGCGGTCTAATTAATAGCATGGGTCTTACTTTATAGCACTCATTTTGATTATTTTTTCAAAGAATTATTATCGAATATCAATAAATGAATTCTTAACTTGATCAACTTTTGTTTAAAACATCTTTATAAAACAATTAACAAAATTATTTGTAAAACAGTTAAGAAATCTAGTTTTACAAATAATATATTTGATACCTGGGAAATTATTTTACAGATTAAATTATAAATAAGTCTAAAATTAAAGTTCAGATTTCCTTCAAGTTTTTTGTAGTCTAAGAACAAGGTTACAAGTTACTATTTAAATTTTGTTAGCATTTTAGTGCCTTATTTAAACCGCAACTGCATTTCTCAGTGTGTTAATGTTAGTGACTAGACATGCAAGACATAATTAACCATAAACAAAATGCAATGCAACGAAAATAAAGGTGGACCGACTGCAACTGGCACCCCTCCACTCCGCTCCCCCTCGAATTTGGACTTTTTGGGATCGATATGTATAAGGGGATATGGGATATGGGATATGGCGGGGCAATCAGATCTCGACGCGACGCTTGCGGAAGTGGAGGTGGAGGAACATGCGCCTATCTTGGTACGGCAGCTGCTCGGCCACCTGCTGCTGGTAGAGCGCCAGCCGCTCCTGCAGCGGCAGCTCGTCAGCGGTACGAGCGGTACGATTGGCCTGCGCCGCCACCGGTGGCCAGCAGCCAGCTAACAGGTTCCTACCGGTGCTGCCCGGGCCGCGGCCCTGGGCCTGGTCCATCTGGCGCCGCTCGTTCTGGGCCTGCCGCTGCGAGAAGGCCGCGAAGGAGCGCTCCTGGTCGGGCGTCTGCGGCATGGTGGCCGCCTCGTGGTCCAGGATGTACAGCTCGTCGATGGCGATGTCGCAGATGTAGTGCAGGTGCTCCTGCGCACGGTCGATCCGGAAGTAGTGCTCCGCAGTGCAGGCTACAAATATGCAGGATACAATTAGCGTATATCAACTTTAAAAACATAACAAACATTTTTGCTTTTATTGAAATTTATTTAAAATTATTTGATGAATATGAAGCTTGGCAGGTCAATAAATATATTACAGACTTTTACTGTCTTGTGCAATAAATGTATTCAAAAGCCAACAATTTTTTGTAGGACTAAAAATGTTTTTAAATTTTTCACAAAATCATAAAATAAATTTTCAATCATAATTAAGAATTATAACAAGCTTACCATCGATGAAGCACCAATCCTGGGAGACCTTCGGATACGAGATGGATTCCTCGAACTTGACGTTGAGCATGTTGCGCACATGCTCCAGATCGCACTGCGAATCGATGTCGATTTGGCCCAGTTTGTTGGCCAATTTGCGGAGCATCTCCTTCTCATAATGGTACTGCTCGTAATGTTGCATGGTGACGCGCAAGATCTGCAGCTGCATCTTTTCCAGGGGATTTACCCTGTGGATTGGGGGAGAATACATACTAAATTATAACAACCAGGACCGGGGTTAGTCTTTTCCCAACTCACTGGACGTCGCCGCGTCCGTGCTTCCTTTTGGACAACATCAGCGCCTTGTTGAGCAGCTCGATCTCGATCACCGAGGGCTTCACGCGGCAGGCCTCGCCGTCCACCTGCATCGGAATGGTCCTCTTGGTGATGATCCGCGCCTTCCGGCACTGGCAGATGCAGGTGCCGTGCATCCCCGCCTGCAGCATGGGCAGCTGGTAGGTGGTCAGACCCACCACCTCCATCAGCCCGTCGTCGATCGAGGGCTTCGAGGCGCCAAACGAGTCGTTCCACGGATGGGTGCCACCGCCATAGCTGAAGGGACATACGGAAAGAGGGTTAGATATTTATGGAAACATTTTGCTCATAGAAAATCATATTAAAAAAAAAACCTATAAAATTATGTTACAAAAGTTCAGGGTTCAGAGCTCGTAACATAACACACACGGTATTTCACATTTGTTATTAACAATTAAACAAGTGAAAATAAAACATAAGCATTTGTGCAAAAACTTATAAAACAATTTATTGCTGTAATTTATAAGTTATAATGATATGAACAAAATTAAAATGTACAACATATTTTGAAGAGCCCCTTATGAATCGTTAATGGTTTCGAAAGTATATATTTATCATATTTTATTTTCCGTAGACTAAACAGAAAAAAAACATCATAACTTCATACATCTGGATAGTAATACAAATAAAAGAACTTGGGAAATTATATAAGAGGCACAATATCACATAAAAACTGACAAGTTCAAGTCTTAGTAATCTCTTTATACTTTCGTCTGATTTAAAGCCATATTTACCTGGGAATGTTCAGGAAGAGAACGGCGTGGCAGCCGGCGTCCCTCAGCCTGCCAGTGAAGTCCTGGCCGTCGCACTCGAGCGTCACCCACTGGGAGAGGTTGCGGTACTGGCGCAGGATCAGGTCCTTGCCGCCCATTTGGCCGTAGTACATCTTGTTGCGCAGCCGCGAATTGAAGCGCTCCGGATGAGCTTCGCGGGCCTCGTGGAATTCCAGGGCGATGTGGGCGTCCACGCCGAATGAGAAGTAGTTGTTGATGACGTTCAACGGGACATTCGGCTTGCTGCGGTCGACATGGTCATCGGTGACGTCATCGTTGGGCGTGACCTTCACCCGCCAGCGGTCCATCAGCACGCACTGCGACATCCCAATCTCGCGCAGCACCTTCCCGATCGGTTCGTCCGTGTAGCCCTGAAAGAAGATAGACTTTAAAATTATTGAGGCTTTTATGTGCAATGATTCAAAGCAATATTAGGTCTAAGTTACATTAACTACAAATGAAAATGCGCCTACCACTGAGTGCCTACAAATGTTCTACCACCATGGAAAAGCGTTCAATACAAATTTCTTTTAGAGCCAAGCGATTTTTTTTAATGCGGTTAGTGTTTTAGTGTTTTTAGCTTACATTATTTATACAAAATATATGGATTCTTGGATATATTGTGAGTATATGAAAACAAATTTTACAATAAAATTCGGCTCATACTTACTGTTGCATATAGCATTATATTCAAATTTTTTGAATGGGTCAGAATTGATTCTAATTATTTTATTTTATACGATCGCCAATCCTAAGTCAGTGTGTGAATGTTATTTCACGTAAGCCTTTCATATTTTCCTTGTCATATTAAAACTGATGCTCACAATTCATTTCGTTATAATTAAAAATTGCAAAACTTCATTGAAATTGAAAGAACTCAAAATGTCATCAAGCATTCTCAAAATATTACTCATACGCACCGTAGCCAGGGTTAAAATATATATTTTGCAAAAGTATTATTAGTCCCTTAATTATTTATTTAGGTTAAAGTTAATTATTTATTTAGGTTAACTAAAGAAGTTCCGAAAAAATACTGAATCTGGCTAACATGTCGTATGGTTAATTTAAGCGTGTTCAAATATAATATTACTCATACGTACGACTGCCACTGTTCCTGTACTAATAAATATTCCAACTATTTTATGATTCTATGATTTAATTTGATATTATCGGCATCGTATTTCAGTATGTTAATATTAAGTGGAGAGCACAATTATCACATTCTTTCACATAATCTTTTCATATTTTCCTTCCTTAAAATTCTTTTCGTTATAATAAGAATTACGTAGTATTTAAAAAAAATTGCAAAACATCATTGAAATTGGAATAACTAAAAATCCTCAAACTTTCTAAAAATATTACTCATACGTACTGTAGCCAGGTTTAAAATATATCATTTTTAAAAGTATTGTAAGTCCCTTAATTATTTATTTAGACTAACTTTAATTATTTAATTGGACCAGCAACATCTGCAATGTTGCGAATAATATTGAATCTGGCTAACATGTCGTATGGGTAATTTAAACGTTTTCAAAGAAATATTACTCATACGTACGACTGCCATTGTTCCTGTATTATTTTTATAACTATTTCAATCTGTTGGAATTCATTGAAAATAATTGTTTTTTTTTCATATGGCTCACGAGTCGTGGGATTTATTTTTATGAAAACATTTAATTTTTTAGAAATTTAAAGCTTTGTTTAAAATAATATGAATAGGCCCATTTAAATGTATATAATTCATTACCTACAAATATTTTAAAGACCCTAATATTTTATTTAATTAAAATACGAAATGGAAAAGCTTTTGCCAATCTAGGTAATCTTTTTAAAAATATATTTTAAACAAAGCTGTTTATATTGTTATGCTTATTTTAAGCTTCACAATAGATTGCATCATAACTTATTACTAGCTAAAGTCAACATTTAATGTAATTGCTACCACTTTGCATGTCTGGGACTTCGACATTTGCCAGTGGTAAGAACTATGTGAGCTATTGTCTAGTGGCGTAAAAGTCAACTTACCCCTCCCCAGCCGAGAGCGCGAGCGAGATCATTGCCGGTGCCCAAGGGAAGGACACCCACCGCCGGGACCGGTTGGAGTGGCGGCTGGATCTGGTCCAGGACGGACAGGACCCAGCCGACGGTGCCATCGCCGCCGCAGGCCAGGACCCTCAAATTGGGCGCCTTGCGGAACATGTCCAGGCTGAAAAGGAGAAACAAGGAGTGTGGTTAAAAAGTGCACATTCAAATAAATTAAAAACCAGTACACTAAAGGTACCTAAATTTAAATAAACGGAACACAAGATTTCCCTATTTTCTATAAACTATTGAGATCTAAGCATAAATATATCTAATAATCATTAATTATATGCAAACAGTTTTTGATTATCTTTAACAATAATACTATTTTTAAATCATTAGCTATTAAAGTTATAAATTTTATTAGTTAGAAATATAAATATTATTCAAGGCAAATGGTCTTTTGATATCCTTAAGCAATACATAATTTTATTTATTCTCTACAAATTTTAATATTCCTTGCAGGCAAATAAAGTATTTGAAGTAATAAGTCTTTAAAAAGCTAAAGTAATAGTTTTGTAAAATAAATTAAAAAAAAAACAAGACAATTGAAATAAGCCCTTCTTTATTTGAAATTTAATGGGCAAATAATTTGTATATTCGTAATTGTATAACAGTTTCTGATTATCTTTAACATTCATACTATTTTTAAATCATTAGCTATTAACGTTATACATTTTAGTAGTTGGAAATAAAAATCTTTGATAATTATTCAAGGCGAATCGGTTTTTGATATCTTTAAGCAATACTTAATTTTGTTTATTGTTTACAAATGCTAACATTCCTTGCAGGCAAATTGAATGGGCAAATAATTTGTATATTCAGTGGAATACTCACCCCATTTTCGGGCCGCCCTGCGTAAGATCGAACACCTGGCGCGGATTGAGCAGGTGCTGGAACTTGCCCAGCAGCTTGTGGCCCTGATTGCCGCCCGACTTTGGGTTTATAAACACAATGACCGGGATTACCTCCGGCGACGGAATGGGCTTCACAATGAACGCCCGCGGCTCCTTCTTCTCCTCCTTGCCCTTCTGCCGCCGCTGCGTCTGCTTCTTGCTCTTGCCCCCGCCGCCTCCGCCGCCGCCTCCTGCCCCTCCACCGCCCCCGGAAGCCCCGCCTCCGGATCCTGAGGCCGCATTGTTCTTGTTGCTCACGCGTATCGAGGACTTGAAGTTGCCCTTGGTCGGCAGCTTCACAATCCACGACGGCGGCACAATGATGGGCGCATAGTTGCCTGCAAGGATTAAGGAGTAAGGATTTAATACACTGCCAGAAAATATGTGGGGTATTTTCAAAAATTTTTTAGGAAGTATCTGCGTATTTCGTTTACTTTACGGGTATTTTTTATCGCAAGGCATAAAAAGCTAATAATGCTTTTGCCGTAAAAGTCCCTATACGAAATCAAGGCTTTTTATTTGGATAAATTCATAACAAAGTAAGTTTTAAACTGATATCATTTCTTGTCTTAAGCCTTAAAGCTTAACATATTTTATCATATACTTGCAAAATGAAAATATAGATTTTCTGCTATGATATTTTGGAATTGCTTGAATTTTAAATTTGAATATATATAGCAAATCTCATAATTGTATTAAAATAGGTTGATAAAAATGTTATTTTTCTATTTCAATTTAAATGGAAATAAGACAGAGTTATTAGATAAACAGCATTTGAAGGATTTTAAGTCGTGAAAGATAGGTTTATTTCTAGTCTGTAGTGCTTTTATATGTCAGTCAAAGTTTGCTCCCAGTGCCCAAATGATTGGACAGTCCAGGTGTGCAGACTAGGAAAGCTAATTGTGTGTGGAAAGTGCTTAAGGATTGCCAGGCAACAAAAATTTAATTTTCGCCACCTTCGAGGGGGAAATCAGAGGGGCCACTGACGAGATAAGACCCCAACATAAACGGCATACCAAAGAGCAATTATGAATGCCGCAACTCGGCCAAAGGACCTCAGAAAGGGGGACGCCAGACAAAGGACCCCAAAGCCACCCACTCGTAATTCTATTTTGTCCTGCCCCATCCCCATCCTCATCTCCGTCCATGTCCTGTCTATGTCTATGTCCTTTCCCGGGGTGCACGTAATGGTCTCTGGCAGGGAGAGTGTGTTAACAAGATGCTCATTGAGACACTTTATAAAAACGTGAACAGGAAGCGGTTAAGTCGCCCCAGCTGCCACACACCACCATTGTCAAAGTTGCCCAGTTTCTCGGAAAGGAATTCTTTTTTATATAAAACATCAGTTGCAGAATGTGGGCGGGGGCTGGCCCCACTGCATTTGCTGCAATTACATTAATTGAAAATAGTTTAGTTCCCAGGATATCTGATACGGCTGTTTGTGCCACAGAATGTTGCATAAAACCAGATTGTGAATGCGATTGCCCAACCGAAAGCTGAGGTACTGCTTTTAATTCAGTTGGGATTCAAAGGCTACGTTGCATTGGTAACCAGGTGACATTTTGATATTTAAATATCAGAATTTATTTATTCGATTTGTTGAGTTTTTTCCTTGATAAGGTCCTCTTTATTTAATTATTTTGTTGACTCAAAAAAAAAAAGGTTGGCCAACGAGAGGGCCCCCGAAACTATGCCACAATTTATTTACCTACCAAATAAACAGAATGGAAAGCGAAAGGACACAGAAAGTGGGAGTCTAAAGGGTTGAGGATTTTTTTTGGGTTCCCTTTTAATGCACAAATCTTAATTAAGTTAACGGACCGCAATCTATTTGCATGCGCGTCACGTAATTAATCAAGGAAATGTGGGCGGGGGCAGGGGCACCGCAAAATGGGGGCATGGTCAGACTCACCCAGACGACACTCCTCGCCGATTTTGGCCTGGTTGAAACAGGCCTCCTTGTTGTGGTAGATCTCGTGGCACCACGCACAGGCCAACGCCACAATCTCCTTCGACCCAAATAGCTTGCTTTGCACTGCCTGCTTCATAGGAAAGAACTAAAGGGATAAGTGCATAACATGTAATAATTTAATAATATCCTAGTTCCAGAATCACTCTATATTTGTCACACAGAGAACAAACTCAAGGCAGTTCAAAACTGATGCTGCTAAAAAATGTAAGATTTAATACATCAATCACGTTTACAAAAATCATTTTAAGTAAATAAATTCAACATTTGGTTAGAAAATATGTTATAAATAATCATAAATACCAACAAATCGAATAATTCAAATAAAGAAAATTGTTTTATTTTCTCCTTTAAATGGACCACTTTTATTGCGTATTCTTTGATTAGTTTTTTCGTTTAACTAAAATGTGACAAGCTAAATCTTTTTTTCTTATTTACGGATCTAATATTTATTTTAGGAGCTTCGAAAAAAATTGTAAATTTCTGGAAATTTTTATTGTAGTTTTTTAAATTTGGTGTTTTATTTTAAATACAATTTTAGTTTTAGAAATTTTAGATTAAAATGTTTTTTGCCTTAGCTTCAAAAAAAAGTAACTAAACATATTCTGGCTATAAATTAAATAGTCTTCCTTGTTTCTTTTATATATTTTACTTTTTGTGAGAATACAAATTAAAAACATATATTTTTTTCTCAAAAAAGAAGGTTTTTAAAATACAAAAAAGATAAAAAAGAAGATGGTAACTTGTGCACCATGCACCATGCACCGTGGTTGACCTACCTTGCCGCACTGCTTGCACTTGCCCTTCTCCAACTTGCGGTGCACCCAGTGGTGGTGCGTGGTGGTCTGCTCCCGGTACTGCCGGATGCCCACGTCCCGGTAGGTTGGCTTGCAGGCCAGCGTGCCCTTCTCGTTCACGATCGGAATGCAGTTGTGGTGCGCTACCAACTGGCAGGCCGAGCACTTCATCCGCTGCCCGCTTTTCTGAAATCGCACGGAATTGCAAGGGGGATATGTGAGATTTCGTTGTGGTACTGCGGCAAAACACTGGGTTTTATCTCACAAAATATACTCTTACTCATTAATTTTTATATTATTTAAAAGTGCACTTAAATATGTGAGATATTGTGATGGTACTGCGACAAAAGAAACCTAGTGTAATATACAAAATACCCCTTACTTCTAATATTTTTCTTTTAAAAGTCTCCTTAAATATTCCCCAATAACTTTTGTCTGCTGTTGCTATTTTAAGCAAAGAAATGTTATAAATATATGTACCATTATTTCGGTAAGTTATTTCCATAAACTTAAAGCACATTGATAATAATGTTCTAGTTGCTCAAAAATGAATATTATAAACAATCGACGGCAACCTTTTGGTTCTAGGAAAACCTTTATGCGACATTTAATTAATTGTGTTGTGTTTACCCTTTTATCTGCGCTAATTAGCAAATTCCCGCGTTTCCACAAAGCCACATTCAAATGATGGAGCTGCAACTGACGCCTGCACTCTCGAAAAACAAACTTTGACAATTAATTGCAGAGGTTGCTGCGGTTTGACAGGTGAGAACGGATTTCTGCCAAGGATACTACTGCCTCAGGTGTCTATAAGATGTTTTCTTGGGAAAACCAAAGAAAACCTTGTGCTGCCATTGTGCTAGTTGGCTTCACTTGCCAAATCTGCTTTTGTTTAATTATTTCCATCCAAACTTTAGTGAAGTTTGCGTTTGGCGGTGAACTGGCCAATTTTTAAGACTGTTAATTCAAAGAAACTTGAGGCTAAACTGGCATAAGCAATGTTTTTAAAATATTTATTTATTCATTGAGTTCATACAAAGAATTGGTTTTTTATTTAGTATTGTTTTCATTATATGATATTCCAGTAAAATCAATATTTGCCGCTTGCCTAGAGTTCGCCATAAAATATTTAGATTTTTTTGTATCCCACCTCACATCAATTTGTTGTGTGAAACAGATTGAGATAAGACAGGACATTGAAGCTGGTCCTCCCCAAATGACTTATATTCCTGGCAGGTTGCCCCCTCTGGATTGACAATGAGCCTGATAAAGTACATTTCGTTTTGCCTTTGGCCGGAGCTGCCCCAAACTGATGACACGCCCATCGTTCTTGTTTCAAACCCCCCTTTTTTTTTGCGCCTTTATTGCGTGAATGTTGGACAGGCACGCAATAAATAAATTACGCTCACATGTAACCTGCCCTTCAACTCTCGTTTGCTGTTGTGTTAATTGAATTGAAGGAATGTGGTGCTGGTATCTACCATACTTATATCTATATATCTACATATATGTACTCACAATGCAGTCCTCGTTCAGGCAGCAAAGATCGCCGGAGACCGAGGAGGGCTTCCAGTAGTGCTCGCCCTGCACCGCATTCTCCGTCCAGTCGGGCACAATCCGTATCGGCCTCCGGGAATTACTCGCCGAAGCGGTACGCCTGCTTGGATGAAAAGATAGAGGGGTCAAAGGTTACAAAGATTGCTTATTAAATTGGCTTAGCCATGGGGGGTTTGCACTCGATAAACACTGAAAATGTGGCCACTTGATAACGTTTATAACAAAGAAGCCTTTTGATGCGTTTTATGTTAAGCAATATGTTTTTGTTTTATTTAAACAGGTTGATACTACGAATAAAGTTAAATTTGTGTTCATATTTCGTTTTCCAATGTAATGAGGACATCCTTATATATTTTTATTAAATTTTGCAAATACAAACATGGGGGCATTACTATTTCAGGGACTCACCTCTTCCGGCGCCACGCCCCCAAGGAGTCGAGCTTCCGCTGCCGGAAGGCTGACTTCCGCTGCATGCCGATTGAGGAGCGGCGAAAGCGGCGCACATTGCCCGCTCCCGCCACCCCCGCTCCTGCCACGCCCCCTACACCCACGCCGCCCCCAACCGATCCAAAACTGTCGCTGCGCTGCAGTCGACGTCTTGGCGCCGGCAACGACTGCGACTGCGACGGCGGCTGCGACGCCGATGTGTTGCTGCCGTCGCTGTTGCTGTTGCTGCTGTTGCTGCAACAGCTGCTGATGCTGCTCCTGTGCCCCGTGTGCCCCTCATTCTCATCCTCCACCTCCGCCTCGTATTCGTCCTCCGTTTGGAACTCCTCGCGAACGGCGTGCAGCAATCGCTCCATGTTGAATATTGCCGCGGGGGTGTTGCTGCAGCAGGGGCAATTGCTGCTGCTGCAGTTGATGTTGTTGCAGATATTGCAATTACAATTGCAGCTCTTGCTATAGTTGCTGTTGCTGCTGGCAATCGTTTCGGTGTTGCTGTTGCCAGTGCTGCTGCAGTTGATATTGTTGCAGATATTGCAATTGCAATTGCAGTCACTAATATGGTTGCTGCTGGCAATCGTATTGGCGTTGCTGTTGCCAGTGCAATTCTGGCTATTGCTGTTGTCGAAGTTGATGTTGTTGCAGATATTGCAGTTAGAGTTGCAATCTCTGTTACTATTGCTGTTGCTATATGTTGTGTTGCAGATGTTGTTGCTGCTGCTGATGCTGCTGTTGTCGCTGCTGCTGATGTTGCCAGTGTAGTTGCTGTTGCTGCTGTAGTTGCCGTTGCCGTTGCTATTGCTATAACCGTAGCTGCCGTTGTTGCTGCTGGCGTCGCAGTTCAAATAAGATATGAACATGGTTGTTACAGTGACTTATTTTTCCACATCCGTTCCCTTTCACATTGGTTTTTCGTTTTGCACGTTTTACATTTCACTTCACTTCATTACACATTCGCTTTAGTCTGAATTTTTTCGGAGCTTTTTTTTCGTTTTTTTTTCCAGCTTATTTGCATTCAGCTCCCAATCGCAATCGCAATATCGGTCCCGATTCGGATTTCGATTTTTGTGATTCTGGTTCCGAATCGGTTTTTGCCCTTATTTCTGCTGCTGTCCGTTTTCGTGTCTGCGGCTGTCATTATGGCGCAAAAAGATTGCCTGGAGATTCTGTTTTGGGTTTGGCTTATTATTATACGATTGCATACACTATTTTTCCCGTTTAATTGCGGGTTCTTTCAAACTTTGGTGGAATTGGGTCACCCAAAAAAAAATTCATTTTATATTTTATATCTTGTAAGAGATTTTTTCACTGCCATATCTTTTCAATTGTTTTAATAATGTTTTTAGAGCGACAAAAAATAAATTCTATTATATGGTAAGCAAAATGCAGTTTACACTGCTCAAATGGAATTCTGTATTCATTTTTAAATTCAAAACAAAATTACAAAACAACTTTAAAAAATTACCTTAACTGAGAAAGAATTTCTTAATTTAAGACTTTTTAACAGGAAAAAATTTCGCAGTCCAAAGAGTATTGAAAATTCACCAGACTAAGTGCAAAAAAAAGAACTTTGACCGGGGACCTTATTTGGATATTAAGCTGCCCCTCTCGCTTACTCCCCCGCCTGCTGTCTCGCTCTAGCGCACAGCGATTGCCATTGTCCATAGGTGTGCGTGTGTGCTTAATACATTTGTATACATTTTGTTTATGTGGGTTGTAATTAAATTCTTATCAGATGGAAATACATACAGAAAAATGTGACTCGTTTTTCTCTTGTTTTGTTTTTTATTTTTTTCCCTGAATGCGTACCTTTTTTTTTGTTTTGAGTAACTAGACAATTGGCCTGGTAAATTGCAGGTTTGCAGATTTTCCATGTCAATTGTCAAAGTATACGCGACTTTTTGGCTAATATCTTTTTTGCCTTTAACTTTTTTGACGCGGCTCCTTTGAGCGCGTTTTAAGCGCGATTTAGTCGCGTTTTCTGCTCTGTTTTTGACGCGCTACTCAAATGTTGGCATACACACATGATTTACTGTTAAATGTAGCGTGTCAGTGTGTGTGGGGGTGTGTGTCGTAATACTGCAATTTTCATAGAATTTTCAAGGCTTTTCGCGCACCTAATGTGACTTTTCGAACTCCAGTAGCGTAACAAAAATAAGAGCTTACTTATGATTTGTGATATTTTTCATACTGAATTGGATTGAAAAAAATAAATATACATGTAATTACAATTATTTTAATATATTAATATATTATATAAAATAAGGTTGTAGATACTGAACATTTTTGAGTTGGTTAATTTAAAAATCATTTAGCTAAACATTGGTAAAAATCGGTAAAAATATGAACAATTTTATAATGATCCCAATTACGTGTCATTTAACTCTTGAAATAAGGTAAAGAATTTAGCAAAGAAAGTGGGGGTAAGCAAAAGAAGAAATGGTGGGCGAACAAAGGGCAAGAAAATGTGGGAGCTTTTTCAAAGTTACGAAATTGAATTGCAAATCAATTTGCCGACTGCAGTCTTAATTCATCACAATGGTCGCTTTTCCTTCGACAGGAATAGCTGGCGAAAATGCAGGGTGGAATCGTCTTGAAATGGAAATCAATGTTGAGATGGCTTTGTGCTAATAGTTCATCAAATAACTTGGCGAAATCATTGAAAATTCCATTTTTCTTGCCATCTGAAGTGTCTGCTGAAGGTTTTTAGAATGGCCAAGGGTTTGAGTCACTGGAAATGGAATTTCCCAGAATTTTTTACGAGCCAAAATGCAAATGTTTATTTAAGGGCAGTCTTGCACCTTGCCAGCCCGATAAAGTGGAATTCAGTTTTGCAAAGGCCATTTCACCTTTGTCCATGAAATCTCCAATTAATTGATAAATCAAAGTTCCCCATCTTTGTTATGCTAGAACTTGATCACTTATTATTTGGTAATTTATGATTGTGGGAGCTCTTTGGCAAATTTAAACTCAAAACATGAGTTAAATTATAGGCCAACAATTTGTGAAAAGCGAGCTTCTTATCACTTTGGGCTACAGAAGAGCAATCCGTCAAGACAATTATAACAATTTGCCATTGCAATCTCTGAAGTTTGAGGGCAATCAGCCAACAAGCCTTTGTCAAAGTATTTGATATGCTGAACATTCCAAACGAATTCCCCCCTCGAGAGCCGAAAAAACGCAATCATCCCTAATTAGAATCGTTTGATACCAAATATGAGTGACCACAGAAATAACGAGCGACCGAAAACACAGGCAAACCGAATAAAACGAAGCCAAGCAAGACGTAACAGAACTTGAAACGCAATTTCAATTCAAATGTGATTAATTTCGATGTCGACTGCCTTTGAAGAGGTCTGGACTTTGCCGGCGATAGAGAGAAGGTGAAAAGTCTGATGTGGAAAAGCGGGAAAGCGGAAAAGCGGGGAAATGCTCGGCTAATGAAAGGCAAACTGTCGTCAATGGCCCGGACTTGGAAGTGGAAGTGGAAGTGGGATTGAGATTCCGGGGAGGAGACAGACGCCTCTCTCGCTGTGGCCTCATTGACAAAATCGATAAAAACCTTGAAATATCTTTAGGTATTTCAATAATGACACTCTGCATTCGCCACCCTCTTGCCACAGAGCTCTTTGACTTTCACATCATAAAATCGAGAATAAAAATGCAGAAATAAATAAATATCGAAAAGTGCTGAGAGCATGAAAGCATCATTGAATCGTCATAAAAATATACCTTAACCCTTGAACGGGTCTTTGGGTTCTTGGAAAGCCTGTGAGCCATTAATAACCGCCCACAACTATGCGCTTTATGTAGATCCTGTCTAGATCCTGTATACGCAAATATATACATCATCCATTCATTTGCGCATTTAAGCCAATGAGAAATCCACTTGAGCTGGCCCAAATGAAAAATTATCTGCACGTCCTGGCCATCGCTGTTGCCATCGTTTTCATCCCGGCCGTCGTTTGTGATTGCGATTAATGCCCGGCATTGAATTGGAATTGAAAACGTGGCAACAACTTTCGTGAATCAAGCATTTCCCCGCCCAAAAAACTCAGTTTTCCCCTTTTTAGATGGCAATCTGGAGTGGCAGCTCCTTTTGCTCAGCAGCGAAATGGCAACAGCGCGAGAAAAGGATTTTAAGCTAATGAATATTAACAATTGCCATGGACAGAGGCTGCTACTTCGGTCTTCACGTCGAAAAAAATACTCGGCCTTACGACTTTTGAAAGGGAACAAAATCTAACCAAGTAATACAAATTAATTGTGTGAAATAACGATAATATATTGATATTCTGTCCGTTCCTAGTTCGAAATATAGGTAAACTCAAGAGGCTACAAAATATTAAAATGGTCATCTTATAATTGAGAATTTAATCATTTTTTTAAATATTACTTTAGCTAACTTTGCATATAAACTGTTTTTAGTAACACTTAATATAAAATATTCGATTTCTATTTTTTGCTGTGCATCTGAAGTGGAGAAGTAGATGCAACCGGAAAATGGTCAGAGATTGGGCAGCAAAACGAGAGAGGGGTACTGAGGATGGGGCAATGAGCTGGACTAAGCGAGCTAGGGCTGCAAATTAAATTAATATTCTTAATTGGCATTAAGCGTTTGGCCTGCCGGCGAGGTGTTTTCCTGAGGGGGCGGTG